TTTTTTTTTTCATAAAGGTACTAAGTGTGGTAAAAAAAAAAAAAATTGGTGGCACTGTGGTAAGAGCAGAAAAGTCCTCAAGAGTACAAGATCGTCATGGATGTGGGGCTGCAGGTATCGATTTCTTTAGTAATCGAGTAATCTTTCAATTATTCCATGGATTAATTGAACAAGAAATGAGCAATAATAATAATAAATCACAGGTATTTCAGAATAAACTGCTCATTGGTTTCTATTTGAGAAATTGTAATGTTTTAAAGTTCAACTGCAAAAACTACGAAATCCTTCGTCGCCAAGTTCTGATCAATTCCCCTCCCTACTGTATACATGACTAATATATAAATAATCTCAAGTACAGTCCAAGTCAAAAAAAAAAAAAAGATATATTATCATATATTATGGCATAGTTTAAATTGCAATTTAAACTATGCCATAAAACTTTTACCTTTACTCTTTCTTCTTGGACGCATTAACAGGGGTTCTGACAGCGTTTTATCTACTAGTAGACAGTGTGTGTTCATGTGGATTATTTTGTTTGCATGTGGATCTGCGTGTCCACGTGAATGAGTGAGTTTGTGTTTGTAAGTATCTAAAGTATGAGTATGAGGAGTATGAGGAGTCTCCAATGAAGAAAAGAGAGTATATGAGCCTCTGATGCAAAATCTTTGTGCTGCTAAAAACAAGAAGTTATGACTTAACGTAGACGTGATATTACTATTAATTCAGTGTCCAACCATTTTCATGGGCTTGTGAAGAAAACTTGTATTTTTACTTTTAAACATTAATGTTATTTATTTGTTTATTAGTTGGAAGGTATCTTTGTGTAAAATAGGACGCTCAGCAAGCTGTAGAATTTAAACACATATTTTAATAAATAAACTTCTGCAGGCTTACTGTAGATTTTTCTCTGTGTAAAACAAACAGTGGTGGATGGAGCAGCTACAAAATTTGCTTTTCTTCACATCAGAGTTCGTTAATCAGGTGCTTTGATCAAGGACTCCTGCTCACGTTTGTCCCAGTAAAGGTTTAAATGGTGATCACAGGGAGGATGCTGGAAACACATTTTTCTTCCACTCAACCTGAGCTCACATCTCTGTAACGGCTCCTCCTCTTTGCTGCGTGTAAACAGACTCCATGTTAAACTGCCGGAGTCATCATCACTGCTGCTGTTGTGCTATTAATGTTTTTGTTTAAAAAAAAAAAACTGTGCGGGCTTAATGTTGTCAAACTTTTTATTCATGCACTGCTCCTAAATATGTTTGTATTGCAGATGTCGCAAATGTGGGTGAAGCACTTGTGTTTACATAGTTGAACACATCTGCACGCTACAGAGCCGTGTGTTCAACGAAGCATCGAAGGCTGAATTGTTGCAGCCCTAGAAGGATGGTTCAAACACAGGGCAACAGGTTCAGTTTAGAGACCTCCATGAATCAAGGAAACTTTCTTTATTTTATTTTTTCACTTTTTAGTGACATTTTGGTTTAGTTATGATAGTTTTTGCAGCAACAGGCACAGGTAGTGCAAACCCCAGACCAAACAGTTGTTTTTTGTTCTGCCAGTCACTACACATATGCTGCTTACAGTTTCAACAGCTAACACTGCTTTGTTTAACAGGTGACTGTTATTGAGCTGACAAATTTATAGCATCAAGTTCACTTCCTAGTTTTTTGTTTGTTGGTTTGTTTTAAGAGCTGCACAGCCAGTAGCCATCACACAAAAAGTCATAATTCTTTGCTGTGCAGACGTATTATTGAATTTAAAACATCCTTTTAACACTTCTGACATGACAACCACTGAAGCTACGTTAATAAACGTATTTGTACGGTGTAAATGAATCAACTGTTACCAATCAACCACCCGAGTGTTTAAATGGAAAATATCTGCATATTCGTGGACTCTTCATTTCTCCGAGGGAAGAACGTTCACTAATAATGCTCACTGGTGTCGTTAAGCTGCTAACAAGGTCGCCCTACCTCCTCCGCTGCAGCCTCAGACAGGAGCCCCTCCCTCTGTGCACAGGTGACGTGGAAGTAGGATCGACACATTCCTGCATCACAGCTGATACACACACCAGTCCTGGCAAAACGGGCATCCTCACAGAAACTGCACTCCTGCTCGTAACAAAAATAACATAACATTTTTTCATTTTTCAAAAATGCCAGTGTGCAACTGTTTCACTGTTAACCACTTTTCATTTTGACAGATATGTTGGATTATCTGCTGAAATTCTGACGCTTCCATGTGAATTTCTAATTAAGCTGCTTTCAGGTTTTACATGATAAATCAGCCTCACCTTAACGCTTGTATTTAGCACAATTACCTCGCGTATACATCACTTCAGACTGACGAAACTTTAGCTGAAAAGCTCTAAAGCCGAATTTCTCAAACTTCGCCCCCACTAAGTGCCTTCTCAACAGGTAACTTCAGCAACTTTAGGGGTGGAACGTGCCACTTTTAAATTGTGCCCCATTACTGATCATAATGATTACTGTAAGTAGAGCATTTCCGGTGTTTAATCAGTTTTGCTGCAAAAAAAAATGTCTGAACACAGCCTCTAGTTTATGGGCGTCAAACTCAGCCCTCTCTGATCATAAGTGGGCGGGACCAGTGAAACTCTCCTTTCTGTCAATGTAAAGAAGTTACAAATTTAACTTTTTCAACATCATAAAGAAAAAGATGCTGTGACAAAAAAATCTGTCAGCATGATGCAAGATTACAGAAAAGGTTCTGGCAGCTCATTACAAAGACTGTCCAGTTTTTCTTTTTTTTCTCAATGAAAATAAAATTGGGCTTCACTTGAGCCACCTCCTAATTTTAGAAATTCCCTAATATCATTGAAATGCAGCCAGATGCTGCTCATTTTATATTTTCGCCCATGTCTTCATTTTTTCCCCAACAAGCTTGCGTTTTAATCTGGCTCGCAGGTGTAACTGTCTGTTCCACTACACGCCTGCCCCCCTCCTCCTTTCTCTAATGGTACGACCCCAGTCTTTGCACGGATTGGCCTCATGGCCGATAAACACTATTTACATTGAAATTCATCTTCATCAGTGAGCAAAAAGAGAACTTGCCTTGGCCCCATATTTTGAATAATTCATCTCTGTGAGTGTTACTGGTCGCAACTTATCAATGTCTCCAAATGCCACTCCAGGAACATAAAGGGCACAAACCACATGCACCCACCTGAAAACATCAAAGAACAAAAGCAAAATTGGTGAACAAACAGTACGAAGAATGGTAGAAAAATCCAGAATTGGAAATGGCTCAGAATCAAGTAGCATTTTAAACATTTTGACTCCTGGATGCTGATTTCACAAAAAGCTGTGAACTGATAAATCATGGCTATGGTTTATTTTTGCATTTAATGTAGAGAATTTGTGTAGACAATAAGACACTTAATATCATGAAACTAGTTTCTCACATACTCAAAAAGAAATTGCCTCATAGATTTATGTAGGCCCAGACTCATGCTACAGTTTGGTGTGAGACAGTTTCAAATGTGGACTTTAGGCAAGAGAATCCAAAGTCCAATATAAAGATATCCATCTCTAGCAAGCAACCGCTTCACAGTTTAATTTGCTGTGTTTTTCATGCTCTACTGAAGTAGTAAATTCGTGTGCAGCCTGGCTGAGGAGCACTATCAGCGATAACGTGGCTGAAGTCTCCACGCTTCACATAACACAGTCTTTTCTCTCACTCTTTTTCTTCCTCTCTTTTCTCCTCCCTCCATTCCTCCAACACTTCTATTTTCCTTCTTAATCAAACCTGCTTTTCTCCTCAGCACTGAATATATAACGCAGTTCAGACGGTCTTTGGATCCCTGCAGCATTTTGAATAGCACAGATCATTAGCTGTTATTTGTTTCTGAACATGTTCCACTTGCTGTATCTTCTAAATGGCAACTGACCACCAGGTCATTGTGCCACTGTATCCCACCTCCCAGCATCCGTCTCTTTGAAGATGCCATCCTGGTTGGGGCATAGCTCACAGCTGGGAGTCACTCCATTCTTGCAGGCATCACAGAACCAAGGCTCTGTTGAATTCTCAGAGGCCGAGCTCATAATCGAGTCGCTCTCGCCGTCCACACCGTAACACCCTGGAAGCAAAGACCAGTATTAACCTCACTGAACAGTCATCCCATTCAAATGAAAACTGCTCCTGTGAGCCACAGCGTGCAACACATGTGGTAGATGCAAAGCTGTGGCATAGAGGTTAGAGGTTAGGAGTAAAAAAAAAAAAAAGAAGATAATTTTGCATTACTCTGTAACATGGTCTGAGATCCACTGACACATCATTAGCATTTAACAATATAAACCTTAGGCTACACATTTACTCTAGCACAAATTCCTAACCTAATCAGGGCACAAAATATGTTTCTTTGAGAGAACCAACACAAAGACAGCAACGGTGAAAGTGTGGACTAGTCCAAACAGCAGCTCACAAGCAGAAATTAAGGCTACAACGTGACTGCTAATCACTGCTTTTGTTTCCTGATGAAAAATCAGTCCCTGGCTGGGCTTTGCATGCAGTCAGTTTTCACATCATACTGAGATTATCTATTTCCTTTATGTTAGCATTCTGTTTTTGCACATCCTTGTAGATTCAATTCTGATTTATTTTTTTTTTAATGCCAGGCTCAGTATGCACTTTACCGTCACATTCCTGATGCTTCCCACAGCTGAAAATAAAAGTAATGCCCTCAAAAGCTAGCTTGGCTATTTTCCTCCTCTGCAATGAGCTGAAGTCAGCGCAAGTGGAGAAAATGCAGTACACTACTGCATTACAGAAACAGCTCCTTTGATTAAAGTAATGTATAACTCTAAAACACCTTACACCAAACACTGCCCATGTGACATATCTCTATGCCTTTTGCCTTTATTAAGACACAAATGTAAACAATGTAAAAAAGGGAAACGGGTTCACACACCAACTAACAGAGGAGCTCCAAGGACACACTGACAACGTCTTTACTTGCTTCACTTTGGCAGAGCAACTCCTCAGATTAGGGCTGTTCGATATAATGATATATATTGAATGACGATATAAAAACGTCTATTGTTTCCTATTACACTATCGTTTGTTTTGTGGTGTCGTAAAATAAACTGTTTACAGCAATATTTTTTCATCGTTTTGATGGTCACTGTAGTGGCTATATTAATTTCTTAAAGTTCTCTCTTTCTCTTATATTTAATATCACCAAACTACTGGTAAATGGACTGGTTCTTATATAGCGCTTTTCTACTCTGTCCGAGCACTCAAAGCGCTTTATACAGCTAATTCATTCACCCAATCACACCCATTCACACAAGCACTTCTAAGCTTAAGTGCTAAGTATCTAACATTCATACACATTCACACTCCGATGGATGCATCGGAGAGCAACATGGGGTTAGTATCTTGCCCAAGGATATTTGGCATGCAGACTGGAGCAGCCTGGGATTGAACCACCGACCTTCTGGTTAGCGGCTGATCCGCTCTGCCACCTGAGCTACAGCCACCCCTACTCTGCTCCTGCAACAACCGGACCCGTATCCTGTGAGTCGTGCGCTTAACACTACTGACGGACAAGCGCCTGTTTTTACATGTTGTCGTTAGCAACAATGAAAACCATCACGTGGCTCTGCTGTCCACTTGTTTGTTTTCCATGTAAACCTTTCACAATAAAGCTCAAGATCCTGTTGAGACTAAACTGAATCACGTGAAAGAGTATGCAGAGAGTTTACAGATGAGAAGAAAGAAAAAAAGAGCTGTCAGGTGCTAAAAAGTTAACCTTAGACTCAAACTTTGAAAGAAAATGGTGGCCGTTACAACTTATGACTAAAAATGTATCGTTTCATGCATCGGTTACACCAGCTGGAAAAACTTCACGCAAGTCAAGTTGCCCGAGATTCACAGAATTTACAGAAAACGTTACATTTTTGTGATTTATATTGTTGTCAGGACGATAAATGTCTTATACTGGGATATGAGATTTTTGTCATATCGCACAGCCCTACCTCAGATGATAACTGGCTCTGGTTGGCACAATCAGGGGAAACAGAGCTACCCACAACCAACAAAATGAGAAGAAGATGCAAAAGGTGCTCCTGCTTCCTGGGAACTTCCAATGTTGTCATCCAACATGCCACAAGTTGCTTTATTCTGGTGTATGCTCTCATGTCCATTTAATCTATACCCCTCCAATCCTCACACATTCACCTCCCGTGCACATTTGTATAAGTGGACAGCAGCTAAAAGATCTCCTTTGTTATAAAAATGTCAATGGTAGATCTTAGGCTGCTAATGCAGGGAACTGCATATAGGGTATAATCGAAATTTTAAAAAAAACAAACACATTGAAATTATGTAAACTGAAGTGAATTATGCTAACTAAGTGTGACGATAGTAATGAAGTAACTTTTGATACAGAGATAAGGAGAGAGGGCGCAACAAGAGAACAACAAGGTGTGACTCAAAATCAAATGATTGGAGTTACATTGAGTAATTGGATGCCAACATCAGGTGATAGCCATGTCATACTGGAAAGGCGGAGAGAAGAAGAGGACTATAAGACCCTTTGCAGATAATGATTAGTCGTTACTTCCTCAGGGTTTTGGCGAAGTGTGCAGAAGATTAGAAGACCCTGCATCACACAGTAGATTTCACAGCAAGAAACCCAGAGGATTTAGCCTTCTTCTTGCAACCCACTATGGACCACAAATTGAATTTAATATTTACTATCCAATATGGTGCTCACTAGATACTGGAAGGGAACTATCTAAGGAGTTCCACGCTCCTCAAAAAGGATTTTATCCTGCGTGGCAAGAATTCATCGATGGCAAAGGTTTTTGCTCTCTTAAAAATAAATAAATCAAAACTGACAGTAGATATTTAGCAACAGTTTTGATTTTAGGGTAAAGATAAATAAACAGAGGCCTGGGGAACATTACTGACGACAGGCAAGCTTGTAACCTGATTTTATTTTTTTTTTTAACTGTACTTACCAATTACAACTTGAGAGATATGGTTTAAAATCAGGCAAGTGCCAATGATGTCAACAGATTCTGATCTCTTTAAAAGAATATCATGCGACACTGTATCAAAGGCAGAGCGCAGATCATAGAGAAAGCATGGCTAACAGCCCAAAGTCAGTTGCCATTAGTGGATCATTTGTGATTTTGTCCTGGACTTCCTCTGTAGTGTGAAGTGGCAGAACACCAGACTGAAATTGTTCAAACGAATGACTGTTATTAAGGTGTACAACAACATTTTTTTCAAGAATTTTTGAAAGAAAAGGTAAATTTGCAATTGAACTGTACTTATTGTGGTTCACCGGGTTTCTGAAGTGTTCGATTTATCTCAGCTGTTTTAAGAGGTAAAGGAAAAAAGCCAGGGATCAGGGAAGAGTGAATAACCTCAGTTATTAAAGGAGAGAGAGAGGATAAACAGGATGTTGCCAGTCAGAGGTGGGTCAAGGCAACACGTAGAAGGTTTAGATTTCTTTAAAATCATACAGTGTGCCATATGTGGAATTATCTAGAGCCAGCTGCTGACAGATGTTACTAAGCTTAGTACTGAAAAAGGCTAGAAAAATAATGCTCAGTGCAGTAAACCTGAGGTGGAAAATTGTCAGGTGATTTAATGTAGAGCACAGGTGTCAAACTCCAGGACTCGAGGGCCGGTGCCCTGCAGATTTTAGATGTGTCCTTGATCCATCACAGCTGATTTAAAAGGCTAAATGACCTCCCCAACATGTGTTGAAGTTCTCTAGAGGCCTGGTAATGAACCAATCATTTGATTCAGGTGTGTTGACCCAGAGTGAGATCTAAAACCTGCAGGACACCGGCCCTCGAGGCCTGGAGTTCGACACCCCTGATGTAGAGAGTCCTTGTATTCCCTTCACCAGACCTCATTAGTACTGCATAATATTCATATTTGACTGCAGACAGAGCATCCTTATAATTCCACGTGTTGACGATGCATATCCTTATGGACAGCATGACCAGTCTTTGTGCAGAGCCATTCCAAGCAATCTTTAGTTTTAAGTTTGCATAAATCCAGAATAAACCAAAGAACAGAGTGAATGAAATAGAAAGTCCAAGTTTTTAATGGAAAGTACTGAGTAGACTGTGTCGTCCATTATTGTAGTAAGACACCAGTTTATCAGGAGTAGATTAATTGTCTCTACTGGGCAGACTGTTCTACAGCAGAAGGCAGTTATGTCAATGTTTTTAATATCGCGATATGACAGAGCGAAGAGTTTGACTTAGATAATATTAAATGGACATCAAAAGATACCAGCTTGTGGTCAGATATGGAAAGATTAGATGCTCCACAGTTCTGAGGAGTAACACTGCATACATCGCATAATATCAAGAATACGGCCCTTAGAGTGAGACTGAAAATCAATAAATTGTTGCAGGCCAAAGCTATTAAGAGATGATGAATAATCTCTCATAAGAGTATTAGTGACAGCGTCTAGATGTATATTAAAATCACCCAGCAAACTAACATTGCAGGAGAAAAAACTTAGAAGCTGGATGAAGCCGAGCAAACACATTTTAATATTGTCCTCTTAATTTTCTGAGGCTGCCTAAACAATTACTTGGCTGATGTGGTTTCTATGGCTGCTATTACACCAGGCATACGTGCGCTTTACTACCAATGAGAACAGCAATCAGCACTCTCCCTCTGTCAGGGAGATAACACTCCAACTCCTAATTCAGTCAAGCAGCCTTTGGGCTTTTCGAGCAATGGGAAAGACTCAAAAATCAAAAACTTAGTGTTCTGCATGCCACACTGGGGAGTCAGACAGCCCATAAAAAGCAAATACTGGGGTAGACAGAGTTGTTTATTCAGCTCTACACTGTTTGGTGGGCGCGCGTCCTTTTCTGATTGAGAGACCATTTGCTGTGTGCCATGGTGAATCACTAATTCTGAAATCTGCTCTTCAGAGGCTGCTCGGGCTCTAGTCTGAAATTTTAAAACAGGCCTCTGGTTTTTCCGTGGAATCAACTCACTCGTGCAATTAAGGCACCACTGCAGTTTTTCCTTTTTAAAGAATAGGACGATCTGTTTTCACAATCTATTGTTACCCCTTAGCACCACTATTATGTA